CGTAGTTAAGTCTTGGATAAATATTCACACTTGACCACAGAGACTTCGAGAAGGGATTCACATAGTATCATAGTTGACACCCTAGGCTAAACTGCCTAGGGGATATTTACAAACCGTAGAAAACCCGTCTTAGAATAAATTTAAAAAATAATAATTATAATCCCTTCCGATAAAAGTGACGGAATACTTATCATGGGCAGCAGGAAATGGAATAAAAAAAAATTAAATCCATTCTAAAATGATAACACATACGATAAACCAACGAACGGGCGGTAAATATAAACATTCAGCAAAACAGCTGAACTGTTAAAAAATGTAAAAACATTCCTGGACAATACCAACGAAATACTACACTTCAACACCAACGGAATACTACACTTCAACACCAACACTATTCGGTTTAGCCAAAGCACACAAATCAAACGTAACCATAGCATCAACAGCGTTCCCTACAAACTTGCTAAAGCAATTACAGAAGCCCTTACCCCGTTCTTAGGTAACATTATCCCAGTAGGCATTAAAAACTCTGGTGACCTAATCCTGAGGATAAGAAACATAAACATGGAAAGCAAGATTACTTGATATCAAATAATTATACACACATATATTCGTTGCAAAATACCTCAATATATTAAAAGCCACCTCAAAAATCCAAAGGAAAAACTTACTCTGTCGGTTCAGAAAATTATAGAACTATTCAAACTAATTAGCAACCACTGTTTTTTCTCTTTCATCAAAAATTTCGGTCAAACGATGGGGTCCCCAATAAACGAGGTCGATGCTTGTATGTTCCTTGAATTTTTAGTATGGTCCCTTTAAACACATCATACCTAAAATATCCACTTACCTCAAATACATTAGATGACGTCTTTCTAATATATTCTTACAATGAAAATCTACTTTCAATCATAAAGAGAATAGAGTAAATCCAACCACCGAATTCACACATGAACATGAAATAAACAAAACTACCTTTTCCCGACATTTATAAGCAACAAGAATAAATTAGATTTCAAAGTTTACCTCAAACCCACAAGCAAAAATGATTTAATCAATTTCTATTCTCACCACAACCAAAACATAAAATCAGAACTAAGCATAGGTTTTTTCCTTACAGCCCTTAAAATATGTAGGCCAGAATACTTAGATGAAGAAGAGAAATATATTGAAAAAATATTTACACTTCTTCACGGAATTCCATGCTTGATGATAGAAAACGAACATAAAAAGTCCAAAGACCTAGGTAACATTGACATCAAAAACACAATATTCATAATCCTAAAAGCCAACAGTAACAACAGCATTTGAGAACAAACCAGTTATCTTCAACACTAACATAATTACCACTAGCTCCGAAAAATACATCGGATGCCGGGATTTTATAAAATAAAAATTATCTGCAATGTGAGAAGAGCTACATAGGCAAAATATCTAGAAACGTAAAAGCCCACATCTCCGAACATAATAGAGATCTACGTTAGGACAACCGTTTGAATTCACACACTAAAACAACAACTCTCTGTAAATATTAGTATTTTTAGTTTTTTTATCCATAATATTGTAGGTTCATTAGGCCTATTATTACACGTTTGTGTAGTTTTGTATCTTATAGTTTATAGGTTTATATATTAACAATTCCGTGTGCAATTTGGTGTAGATAGAAATTGTATGCTGAAGCTAGTATCAGGTATATCCAACCTTGAATTGAATTTGACTTCATTTTCTTTTTCCTTTTTCTAAATTCCGTGTCGTCTTAACGAAAAAGATATTTCAGCTTTATTCTCAAATAATACATTTACAGTTAATATTATTTCTGTCTGAATTTCTGGAATGAGGTGTCATCATTATTTACATTATTTGCACACAGACCATTGTTCCTAACTTTGCAGTTGTTTCTTTTTATCACAACGTTTCGGTCGTTGTGACCTCCAGCCTTTATCAGGTGATTGTCGATCCGAATAACCTGAGAATTTCAACCTTTTAGTTAATCTGCAGTGGTTACCCGGATCTACAATCATCTGATGAAGGCCGTAAATCACAAGAGCCGACATGTTGTTATAAATCAACACACGTATGGAAAATAATTCAACAGGTAGTATTATTTTGAAATTCGGTTAACTCCTGATATTTTTATTTAAAATCCCATATTATTATTATTATTATTATTATTATTATTATTGATATTGTTATTATTATTATTGTTGTTATTGTTATCTGTTGGTCGTCATTGTACTTCAAAGACAGCAATTCTCTCCACATTTTCCGATACCTTTGCCGTATTCAAAACAGATGTTGTCTGCATCGTCTGAATAATCCTTTTGATCTTCTGTTCATTCAATCTTCTCGCAAAGTTCTTCTGACCGGTAAGATTTTCATTGTTTATTCACCCTCCTTCAGTTTAACTATGCAGGATGCTGGAGTAGCGACATATTCTGTCTGACAAAGTTTTTATTTTATTTTTTTTTTTTCCTTATTTGCTTCAAGAAGTCGAATCCCCTAACTTGCATAAGGCGGTAAGTTTGAATCGCAAATGCTCGAAGTGTTTTTCCTTTCATTATAAGGACAGATTCTACATTGTGCACCGACATGTTTATTATGGTCAAACCCATATCATTTGCAACTTGCTTTTCTTATTCATTAAATGATTTGCCATCTAATATTTTCGTTCAGTAGACATTTTTTTCTATCTCGTATTTATTTAAGTAGCTATTTACGTTAATTTCTTGTAATTCTTGCTATTATGGTTATGACTTTATCTGATTATGTGTAGAAGGTTTTCACTATAATGCTATTCCGTTTATTGACATGAAAATAAGTTCTTCTAATAAACATATTATGCCCTTCTTTTGTTCTTTTTAATATTGTCCACCATATATTTTTTCAACACAATATCATTTATTTTCGTACGGTCTCACATCTAAAAGAAATGTCGTCGTGTGTATATTTGTTTCTCGTGTATCAGGTTGAAATATTTAATACTATATTAAAATCTTGTTCATTATTACTATTATTATTGTTTTCAGAATTTTATTGAAGAAAATCAACACTACTTGCTATACTACTATAAAAATATCAGAATAACTACGAAACTTTGTATTGTTAATCTTTATAATTATTATATTATGATCTATGTACATTTATTCTCCCCTTATTAGGGTGAGACAATAAATGTCACATATGCGATTTATTTCATGATATTAAAAAATTAAAGAGTAAATAGGAATATGTGACCTGTTTTTAGAAACGAAAAATAAGTATCTCTTCATATTTTTTTCCTTTTCTCACTTGTAATATTGTTACAATTTTAAATAATATTTCCAGAGTGCTTACGTATTCGTTCAGTAGCCATTATTTCTCTCGGATGTCTGTAGACATCTCTAAAGTACATTCAATTCTTAGTACATAAACAGAAATAAAAATGACACTTAAAGAAGAAGTATCTATTTTATAACAAAGACTATCAAAGGCGCTCTCTACTCAGTACGACACATTATTTCATGGTTCTCTATGAATTTTCAACTGTCTTATAGGCTTCAAAATAACACTATAATGCTTACAAGTCCGATTAATTTTATATTATTCCATTAAACTTCCCCATAGCCTGGTACACAATATAAATAATCTCAAAAATAAAATAAATGAACGTGATAGAAATACTTTCAATTTAAAAAAAAAACAATTAGATATTTTATTTCTTTAAATTTCCTTTAATTTTAACACAATACAAGACTCAAGAGTCACTCAATTTAAAGGGTTACTTAATCAGGTTTGTGATATGAACGTAAGGGAACGAAATGGAACTTACAAGGGTATAGTGAATAGATAAAAAAATCTACCCTAGTAAAGGGGAACACCACACGGGTGTGTTCTGCAAATAGCGGTTCTTTGAAAGAAAAATTCTGATCGGAACGGAAATAAATTCTTACCAAAGGAATACGGAGAGAACAAGTGTGATTCAACTCTGCGGAAGTAGCAAGGCACGTCTTTGCTGCAAATTGTGGTTATTGAAAAACTGGACCATGTGAGAACATTAATCGTGGATGTGGCAACTGGGAGAAAATTGCTGTGGGGTGAAAAATAAGACACCACCCAGAAGACCTCGTAAATGCTTTTGAACAAAGTCAGACCTCGAAAATAAGAATTCATAACATGAAAGAAACATCGAAATATATATAAAAAAAATAATGTAAAACACTTGTCAAATATTCTCTGCTTAAAATAATTTTTGAAGACACTTTTATTTATTTGAAAATTTCAAGTTGACAACATTATTAAGAAAGATGACGTGTTTATATTTTTCAACAGATGGTGCGAGCAAGCAATGTGTTTTTGATTTCTAAGTAGATTTTAAAATACTTTTTTTTCTCTAATTTGTTTTTGCGTATGACAGTGTGTTTGCTTAATTAGCAATTTTTTCCCTTTTAAAAATGTTTGTTTACTTGAGTTCTTTATGTTCCACTATTAATTCTTCACTTTATCATCGGAAGAATAGTCATAAAAGGTTTTTGTAAACGGAATTAGAAGATGCAACCCACATTTACCCGCTGTTCTTGACTTGTTGACCTCAACCATTAGGTAATTCCAAAGTTTAGCATCTCTCTTAGCTCATCTTCAAATATGAAAACAAGATGACAACTAAAATTCTGCCTGCTATTCTTCACATATTTTGTTTCTACAATCCCTATAAATTTCGTTTTAGACAGTCATGTTTTATTGGATATGGACGATTTTAAACTGCAATATTGGCACAAAAACGGGATATTAATAAATGTACGCTTGCGAAATGTATATCATATCTTTATAGATCAGTCACATTTTGCGTCATATCTTTATAGATCAGTCACGTATCTTTAGAGATCAGTCACTTTTTCTGTTACTTATCTTTATAGATCAGTCACATTTTGCGTCATATCTTTATAGATCAGTCACGTATCTTTAGAGATCAGTCACTTTTTCTGTCACATATCTTTAGAGATCAGTCACATTTTTTCACACCAGGCTTGCGGCCACATTACCTTGAAATACCGGTTCTGTACGATCACCGAAGTTAATCAAGCTCGAGCCTGGTTAGTACCTAGATAGATGTCTGCTTGGGAAAACCACGTGCTGTAAGCTTGGATGTGCAGGAGGAGAAATGGATAATGATTCGGAATTCTAAATCGGAGGTACGAGTTCCAATTCCAATTATATTTACTTACGCGCAAATACCATTGAGAATGGTAAGAATCCATCTCTTTTCCCCAACTAGTATCACTAAACCATTATTATCTTCAAACATAAAATGAAATTGCGTACAAAATATTTAGATTCCGGCATTAAATAACCCATAGAGGTTGATCGACCGCTAAACAAAAACAACCAATCAACCAAATTGTCTCATATATTTTTATAGATCAGTCTGTTAATGAAGCTGTAGAATCTGCAATCATCATAAATAGATTTTTATGGCAATTCTATGAATTGCTTTTGCATACTAAACAGTTAACAATTGCGTTGCTTACCGACATTTTTATCAGTACTTGATTCATAATGGAAATGCGTGCAAATAAATGCTTACAGCCCCTGAATATGATTACTCGGCCATGTGTACAGGCGTGAAGAAGCGAATGGATATATTTGTAATTTTTACGTAGTTGTTAGTAGATAAGTCATTTGAATATTTTCAACGCAAACCGAAAGTAAAAAAATGTTTGAATATCGGTATCTGTTCTTTCCGACATCATCCAGTCAACCTCTTCTAATTATATTCTTTCTCAGCCGAAACTAAGTGCGAAACTGCTTCTCTCTCTCTTGAATATCGAATATGTTACAATAAAAAGACAATATTCTTTACTTCTTAACATAATCAAATTGTATTACCTCGGGATCCAGTAGATCGTTGGAGTATCATTGGTCGTGATAATATCCAATGAAGAATGGTGAGTTACATGATCATACGTATTTTGATTTAAAATAATCTAATCGCAATTAATAGGTATTAATGGAACTTTAATATATAATAATTTGAATATGCTACTGTCCGCTTTTGCAACTATCGCACCAAGCCTCGGAGTGCTGAAGAAAATCGATAGAATACAGGGAAGTCGAAGAAAATCAGCATGAATGAAAATGAATTATAACATTACTGAGACTAATTATATACAACAAACAGGGCAATTATTTCGTTTGAAAGTAAGCTCATCTTGCAATAAATTCAATTTTTGGATAGTCCTTACATAGATGTGTTCTCTGGTATGTGGTTAACAAAAGATAAATGTAGAATAAACACTTTGCTGGATTATTGTTGCATCAAATTAAAATGTATCTCTTGATAAAAGAAATTATCAAAGAACTATGCGATTTCGAATGTTTACAAAATTTGTGGAATCATTTGAGAAAAGTAAAATGTTGCCTTTACTAATACGCGAAGGATATAAGATGGGATTTCCATACAATAACTCTCAGAAAGCTAACTAAACGAAAATTGTAGATGAAAAAAAAACATCAAACATGAAGATATCAGTTTTTACGATTAACTGAACGTTATTCGAATGTTAGTTGGTGTATTTAAATGAATATGGATTTGTTTGAATAACAGAATAAACATCTCTTTCTCACGAAATGAAACAAAGAGAAGGGATTTTTAAAAATATTATTTCTACTAGAATTAAAGCCACTGCCATAATAACAAGAATCTAGATATTTTGTCAAATATCTTGTAATTTTATTAGATAGCGGTCTGCAAAAGGAGTAACTCAATTTCAAATAGATTTGATCCAAGCCTGTTTTCTTTTTCATTCTGGCTTCTCTCTTTTTCTCTGAGTGCCTGTCTATCTTACTGTCTATCTATCTACATTTCTATCTGTCTGTCTGTGTATCTATATGCCTTCCCGCCTGTCTGTTTATATCTGTCTTATATATATATATATATATATATATATATATATATATATATATATATATATACACACACACACACACACACACATATATATATATATATATATATATATATATATATATATATATATATATATATATATATGTATTTATAAACAATTTTTTTTATTTATCCGACAGATTTTATAACTTAAATGTTATTTTTTAATGGATGTTAACATTTATTAAAGAGTATATTTATTTATTTTTGCCTACCGGCCTGAATATTCAAGAAATCATATGCGTTCTACCACAGGATTCGAACCTACGTTCCCCTAGGTGAACCGTCAATACATCTGACGTGCTTTGGACCTCTCACCCTCGGAGTGCGTCGACGGGTCAAGCAAATTTGAATAATGCCTTTAAACACAGATTTTTCTCAGGTTCTCAAAATAAATAGATCTGCTGATTTGTTTCTTAATATAAACAAAGCAACTTCTAAAGAAAAGGATGGAGTTTTCATTTATTAACCTGACATAGTGCGCATATTTTTCTTTTTGTATTGCACAACGAATTTGTCATGACGGTTTCTACTAGGTGGGTTGCACGTCTTCTGAAACATGATAAAAATACTAGACTGCTCACATCACGAGGAAATATGACATTGTTTAGGTCTGATCCATCGGGTTTTCTTTGATGTTTCCTAACCCAGAATATTGTGTTAATCACTTTGAGCCAGAGGCAAAGAGACAATCCATGCAATGAAAACAACTCTCCTCATATGCTTCAAAGACAGCGATGGTCATTTCATGTGCAGAGAAGCTCAGTTTTTTTGGATGCAAAATGTATTTTGCTTATTTACTATATTCAAAAGGGGCTACACCATCGATGGAGAGTACTATGCTAATTTCCTGAGGCATTTACTAAAGGCTATTAAGTCCAAACGCCTAGGTAAACTAGAGAAAGGTGCCTTGTTTTATCAGGACAATGCTCCTGCGCACAGGTTCTTTCAACTTTGAACTACTTGATCACCCTCCCTAATTCTCTTGATTTTGCTATCATCTATTCCCCAACACATCATATCTGCTGCTGATGATTTTTCTGACTAAAAGAATGAACAGTCTTTTATGAACTGTCAAGTTTCAGTTTACCTAGAAAGAAATACTTAGTAATAGTAATTAAACTTAATGCATGCAAGAATTCATAGCTCTAACATTACTTTTTCATAGTCCACCTATGAACTTTTCAGGCTACCCTCGTTTAGATTATATAGTAATGAAATAAATTAAAAAAAAAAACTTCAATTGTAAACTAATGTACTTACACACTGAGTTTTGTGTATCAATTTGTTCACAATAAAATCAGTATTAGCCAAAAGATATTGGTAAATTTTTCATGATATATATGTTATGTGAATTTACAGCTTATATAACTTCTTCTAAATATTTAAAATAGAATATTTGCATCCCGAGGCTTATTTTTCATATGGATTCTTTATAAATATCGGTAACTGTATAGTTCTTGACATTTATTCATTAATTTAAGGTATAACCAGATTTTGAAACAAAACGTGAACAGAGATCACAGGACAAAGTAAAAAAAAACTAAACATATTAGCCTGATAGGGACAGAAAGAATTGCTTTTAGAATATCATGAAAAGATAACTGTGAAAAATTAGATTTGGTTGGCAGAAAGAAGATATTTAAAGAATATTATCTTGCAAAAGTAGCATGCTAAGAAATTGTCTTCATGGTTTTATTATCACATCGTTTCACAATGTTTTCATGACTTCAGTATTTAAGTAAGCATCATAGAGGGAAACTTGTAATTGTTGTTATGTAATATATGAAAACATTTAACTGTAATTTGAATGATGATTAGAGAGCTGCACTGGACCAATATAGTCCAATTTGTTGGATACTTGGAAAAAGTTAAAGAAATCAGCAGAAGGAGTAAAGTAATAATATGGAGAAAAATTATAAGCTTCTTAAAATGCGTTGATGGTGTTAAGCTACTAATCTTGTATTTTCTATATTCTTGGAAAATCTTTTTGAAAGGTGCCGAAAGTTTTCCATATATATATTCATGCAATATTGGGATTATTTATATACTGTAAATCTGATCATTGCACACCGTGCCAACTGGATTTTTAGCATTAAAAGGGACGCATATGAGAATGGAAAGCGATAGTCATGTGAAGAAAGTATCCAGAAAGAAAAGTATATAATGAATGTATTAAAGCTGAAAGAGAAGAAATGTTAAATCAATGGCTGAAGACTACAAAATATAGAAAAGCCCATATTACCATCTAATATAATTCAGGTATATAGAATATTTTTAATCAAATATATATATATATATAGTTATATGATGTTTATATTTTGTAAGATACATCTATTGGATGCTTTAGCACACATTGTCAGTGATGATTTTAGTCGAGGTCCATTCGGAGTTTCGGGTCTTTCAACATCATACCCTCTTTCCACGGTGACCAGACGGACACTGATCGGGTATCGACTTGTGTATCTTCCGTCAGCTACAATTCTTTTCCATCTTCTTAACTACACACCATGCGACTCCTCTTAGCATTTATTGTCCACTCCTGGATGACACCCGCTTTATCGGCAATGTGCGCCCTTCCATAAAAAAAAGGAAGCAAACGCAGCCCAAATTTCGATCTAATCAGGAATATGGCGGCGTGCTTAGCGTGAAGTATTAAGAACAGACTTGGTACCCCTCACTAAGTCATATGCACATACATGCACAAACTGAAAAACGAGCTCGAGCATCACATTCTGTTTACACTTATCCCATTTATCTTTATATTAATCATCAGCCGAAGGAAAAGCTAAAGAAAAAAATTCCTTTTCTTCCTTCTCACTTATTTCTTTTTCATCCTTGCCCCTCCATGTATATGAGTTACACACACACATCAATGTCGCCACGCACACATACTAACATACACATCCAAAAAAATAACAACTAAACACCGTGACCCTAGCAGGGGGACAACCAGGTGCTAGATCTTAATCAGAGATCACCCGTATGTTGTTTATATAATAATACCTTACACTTTCAATTTATTTTCAGAATATAGAATCATATTTATGAAACGAAGCAGATATTAGTTTGTCTCTGTTTCTCATATAAATAAATCCTGAAAACCCTGCCAACATAACTTGCATAATACTAGTTTTACTTTGAAAATATTGGCCCATGAAATGTTAGATATATAACCATATATTTCGAAGAAA